TCTATCTATCCATCTATCTATCTTTATATACAAAACATATACACTTATGTATATTTTTTTCTGTATGTATGATACTATGCACTAGTTTTTAGTTTGGGAGATTGAACAAATAGGTAAAAAAACAAACAATTGCATCATTAGGGTATGAAGGTAAAATAAATATCTTATTTCATACATATATATTTGCATATATCTGAAAGGAATATTTTACAATACATGACTATGATGTGATTAGCTACAAGGTTGGACGAGAGACAAATGTACAAACACAAGAGAAAAAGTGATATACAGAACACGCATACAGTGAATAAACGTATACATAAGGTTTGGATACATGATACATAGCAACAAAAATATGACTATCTAAATAAATACAATACGCGCAATATAGACACAGACAAAATCACAGCAAGATATTCATCATATTTCAAAGAGGCCCCTGCGTTCTCTGAATTAGTTGAGTCTCCCATATCACCGTTTTCTGTAACACCCGGACTAGAGCTATCTCCGTTTTCCTCAACTCCGTTTTCTTCGTCATTCCCATTCCCGTTTTCCTCGGCTTCGTCAATGGTCGGTATCGTCCTTTCTATATAGTTGTTGACGCACTGTTCCAGAATGTTCAGGGGACCTGTGCACTGCAGCAACACGCCATGGAAATCTTGCAATCGGAACAGATTTCCCAAAGCATTCTGAGCTTTTTGCCGCAACTCTTTTATTTTGATTTCGCCGATTTTGTAAGAGCACGCTTGGCCCGGCCACGTGATGTAGCGGTTCACTTCGGTCTGGAGACAGAAAACGGGAAACGGGGAGGTTAGGCTTAAATATTTTTAATAATATTTGTGAATTAAGGCGTATCCAAAGTAGTGCATAGTAAATGCGAGACGATATATATAGTTAAATAGAAATCGAGAGAGAGAGAGAGAGAGAGAGAGCGAAGAGAGAGAGAGAGAGAGAGAGAGAGAGAGAGAGAGAGAGAGAGAGAGAGAGAGAGAGAGAGAGAGAGAGGGAGAGAGAGAGAGAGACAGACAGACATACAGAGAAAGAGACAGAAAGAGAGAGAGAATTAAAACATGCGATAATTATATATCGCTCATTTATTTCAACAGTGACATAACTCAAAAATTGAAGATTTTGAGTTAGTTATATCACTGAATTTGTCATTTTCTATATTTATTTGTGGTAAGAACGTCATAACTCTAGTATCAAAATTGTCCATTATATGTCGCTCAAGGCATAGTGACTCATTTTCTTTCAGACGAATCTTTTAGTTGGCATAGCGTTTTATTTCAGTTAAGTGTATTTTATTATATTTGATGTCATGCACTACATTGAATCCTGAAATAAAACTTCATTGCTAAATACCTCTTTTAAAACTTACATGGAAGACTGTATTACATATTAAAAGTTTATTTTGCTTCTCCTGAAAAGTATCCTTTTTTGAGTTATGTCATTGTTGAAATGAATGAGCGATATATATATCTATCTATCTATATATATATATATATATATATATATATATATATATATATATATATATATATATGAACAAAAAAACCTACACGAAAAAATACAACCCCCCTTCCCCCCCAAAAAAAACAAAAAAAAAAACAGAAAACCTAAAAGGCGCACCTGAATCGCGGTTTCGGACATGCCCGTGTGTTCCAACATGAAGCTCACCGCCCTGTCACGTGACCAGCCGAGGGCGTGGATTCCGGTGTCGACCACAAGCCTGCTCGCGCGAAGGAGCTCGAAGGAATACCGGCCCAACCTGGGAATTCAGATAAGATAAGATAAGGCCATGGCAGATAGAGGAAATAAATGAGGGAGTGAGATGGTATGAGATAAAAAAAGATGAAGAATGAGTCGATAAGAGATAAGTAAAAAAAAAAAAATAATAAGGAATTGAGGCGATGAGAGACACGGGAAATATGTATGTTGAAAGATAAGAAACAAAGTAATAATGTGGGAAATCAGAGAGTAAGGTAATGGAAGACGGCGATGATGAGTGAACTTATAGAATGTATAATTGTATTTGACGGTAAAGAATCCGTACCTATAGCATTTCTCATAACATATAACTTTCGAGCCAAGGAAAAGTCACCTCTGATACGAGTCGGCATAAAGACCCAATTCCTCTCCCAGCAGCTCGGCATAGAGGCCCCAGCCCTCGACGAAAACGGTGTGCAGGGGAAACTTCGCTGGAACGTCGCCCATCCTCGTGCTGTCGATATATTTCCGAAAATCTGGCGTGGAAGGATTCATCTTGGTGTAGGCAGAGTGGAAGTGGTGGCCTGGGATGGTCTCGTGAAGGGCGAGGGCCGTGACCTCGTATTTCTTACTGGGGGAGAGAAGGAAGGGAAAGGAATGCTTCGCTAATGAGAGCGGAGGAGGAATCACATTTCAAGCATAGATCTCTATCTGAACAATAATTTAATCAACAATAATTTACAATCAACCAGAGAGAGAGAGAGAGAGAGAGAGAGAGAGAGAGAGAGAGAGAGAGAGAGAGAGAGAGAGAGAGAGAGAGAGAGAGAGAGAGAGAGAGAGCAAGGAAGAAGAGAGAAGAAAACCAATAACCGAAAAAAACATAAAAAATACATACTTGAAAAAAACACACGTACACACAAACCAAGAAGAAAAAAGTGACTTACTGCTTATCATAAATATACGAGTTTAAGAAGAAGGTCCCGAGGCGAGACCCGTCCATGGAGGGCTCCGCATAGAAGGCGTAGATGGCGTTGGGCTCGTCCACGCCCTCGACCCTGGGCGAACGAGGCTCTTAGTGATCCACGTGACAATCATGGTGATAATAATGATAGGATGGCGATAGTCATGCCAAAATGACGATAATGATAAAATGGCGATAATGACAAAATTACGATAACAGTAACAAAATGACAATGAAGATGACAAAATGACGATAAGAATAACAAAATGACGTTAAAAATGACAAAATGACGATAAAAATGACAAAATGATGATAATGAAAAAAGACGATAATGACAAAATGATAATGATAATGACGATAATGAAAAAAACGATGAAAATAATGACAATATGATGATAATAACGATACTATTTTTCCTCACCCCTTCTTTTTTTTCCAAATCTATCGACATCTTACTCACGTCACATTAACATCAGGTACGGTGTCGAAAAGCTGGTGCATCAGGGGGTAGATATCGCCGTAAATTCTCTGCCTGTAGGTGTTGAGAAGCTCGTCCTTGCTGCCGAAACGCTGGTCTGGGTCGTCCTTGAGCACCTGGAAGACCTCGGCTGCTGTGTGGCCCTCGAGACCCATCTCCTGGGCGGTCTGAAGAGGAAGAGGAGGAGGAGGAGGAAGGTGAGAACCTGGCGATTGTGAGATTATATGGCTGCTAAGGGCAATTGTCTAATGGGAGGTTTTATGGTTGTTAAGCTTTATCTATAACTGTCAAATGGGAGAGAGATTCTATGGTTGTTAAGCTTTATCAAGGGGTAACTGTCAAATGGCAGAGATTTTATATTTCTTAGGGTTTAGCAAGGGGTAACTGTCAAATGGCACTTGGGCGGGAACTTTTATGTTTGTTTGGGGTGGTAGTCAACTCAAGTGATTGGTTAGGTTTAATTGTTAGGTGGGAGAGAGATTACATGGTTGTTATTCTTTTCACCGGGTAAACGGTAATACGTTTTATTGTTTCTGTTGGGATAGTGAGTGGTTCCTAAGGATTTGAAAGCCTTAAGAAGAATTGTGAACAAAGCTTTTTAATTTGGAATCGAATAGATGGCTCTGGAATTGAATAGTTCTGAAGTCAACTGTGGACTAAGATTTCAAAACTTTGAAAGGCTGTGAGAACAAATATGGACCAAAAGACTTGAAACTCAGAAACAATTATAGACAAAAAAATAAACATTTGACGGATTCGAAGGCAACCATGGACAAAGACCTGGAACTTTGAAGCGCGGGTTCTTTAGCGAAGCACAGACAGACTCTATTATCTCTCAGAGTTCCCCAAAACAAGCAGAGTCAACATCCCTTTCCTTCTCGTGGAATGAATCAAGTGCAATGGTACTACTAAACAGAAGCAGCGGTGTGACTCAGCAGAAGCAGTGATAATACTAATCATAGACAGGTATACCTCTTGAAAAACACAGCATTAATCAGAAACAACAGTGGTGCGTAATATAAATAGCGGTACTACTGAACGCAAGCAGTACTAGTAACCAGAAGCACCGGTATTACCAAGCAGAATTAACGGTACCCCTAACTATAAACAATAGTGCTACAAAGCAGAAACAGCGGTTCGTAAACAGAAACAGTGCACCTCTAAAGCAAATACAATGGCACTATTAAACACATACAGCGGTACTACTGGACACAAGAAGCGGTATGAGAAAGCAGAAAACAGTAGGTATAACTGAGCAGAAACAATATTATTACGGAGCAGAAGCAGTTATACTTTTACGTACAAGTCGCAGCACTACCAAGCAGAAACATCAGACACTACGTAGCACAAAACAACGACACTCCCCAAAGCAGAAAAACAGTAGTATCCCCCTTCCCCCTTCCCCCCCACAAAACACAGAAAAAAAATCAACTCACCTTCTTAACTTCGTCCTCGATCCTCTCCACCTCCGAGAGACCCAAGCTGTGTATCTCTTGGGGCGTGAGTTGCGTCGTCGTGTGGAACTTGAGGCAGGTTAGGTAGTATCCCTCCCCGCCGGGCAGCGACGACGCTGCCACTTCGGGTCGGGTCGCTGGGATGTAGTGCTCCTGTAGGAAGGGAGGGGGGAGTGAGTAAGTGAGGGGGTGAGGGAGGTAAGCAAGGTGAAGAAGTACACAATGATAGTATAATCAACAAATACTGACTTGTCTATTTTATTTTACACTTTCCTCGATTATAACAATATCATCAAACATATTTTCTTTTCTCGTAATGATCACGTGATTGATAAAAAAAAATACTCAGTGATATCAGAAATAACAAAAATAACTCAATTCTATAAACACAGCGAAAATAACTCAACGATATGGAAATCAGCAGTAAAAAAACAAACTCACTGATATAAAAAAAAAAACTGACCCTATTCCAGAAAAAATAAAATATCACAAAAACGCAACTCAATAACAGAAAAATAAGTAACCCAATCACACACAAAAAAAGAAACAATGATAAAAAAATTAAAACAACTTAGTCTGACCTCAATAAAATCTCTTAATTTCCTGAAGGAGGGAAGGAGGTCCTGCTGTATCCTTTCCTGGGCTTGCTCCCTCAAGGTCGTTCTGAGGGGAAAGGGAAGAGGGGAGTAAATCGAATAAAGAAGGGGATAAGAAACAAAAGGATGAATAGAAAGAAAGAAGGGTCAGTGGCAGTGGTGAGGGAAAGGGAAGAGGGGGATAAATCGAATAAAGAAGGGGATAAGAAACAAAAGGATGAATAGAAAGAAAGAAGGATCAGTGGTGGGGGAAAAAGGGGAAGAGGGGAATAAATCGAGTAAAGAAGGGGATAAGAAACAAAGGGATAAACAGAAAGGAAAGGGGAAGAGGGAGATAAATCGAAGAAAAAGGGCTGATAAGAAACTGAGGGAGGAAGGACAAACCGAATAATGACAGGTGAGAAGAGAAGAAAGAAAAGGATAAATAGACAGACAGAGAAATCAGTGACGGGGGGGGGGGGGGTAGAAGGGAATAGACTGAATAAAGAAAGGAGATGAGAAGAAAAAGATAAATCGATAGACAGAAAAAAAAAATAAGAATAAAGAATGGTGATATGAAGCACGGTGAAAAAAAAAAATAAACAAACGAAAAATAGTGATAAGAAACAATGTTAAACATATACACAGACAAAATGGCAAAAACGTAAAGTTGATAATAAAAATAGATAAATGAATCAGCAGAAAAAATCGATGAAATTTGTGAGAAATATATACGAAAAGAAGATGTATATACTTTGAAAAATCTATGTTATGAGTGGGAAACAGAAATGATAAAAAAATAGTGATATAACAAACGAACAATTGCAATATTTGATTAACTATATTGAATATATTACATATTGCATAAAAGTGTGTGTATGTGTGTGTGTGTGTGTGTGTGTGTGTGTGTGTGTGTGTGTGTGTGTGTGTGTGTGTGTGAATGTGTGTGTGTGTGTGTGTGTGTGAATATATGTGTGTGTGTGTGAATATGTGTGTGTGTGTGTGTATGTGTGTGTGTGTGCATGTGTGTGTGTGTGTATGTGTGTGTGTGTGTGTGTGTGTGTGTGTGTGTGTGTGTGTGTGTGTGTGTGTGTGTGTGTGTGGGTGTGTGTGTGTGTGTGCATGTGTGCGTTTGTAGGTGTGTGAGTGTGTGAATATTTATTTATCTAATTTGTCTGTCTGTGTATGCCAGTAAATGAGTGTGGATATATGCGTACACAAAAAAACAACAAAAAACACACAAATAAGTAAATAGGCGCAGAATTAACCAAGACATTACACGCATAATTTGAAACCCACCTTTGATCACCAATGGAACTGGGCGCGTGCAGAAAAGGCTTATAGAAAACGGAGTCCTCCACAGGGCCCCCCAACTCCTCTAACTGCGCCACGACTCCAATCTGAGATGGAGAGAAAACGGGAAAATTAAGTTGGAAGGAAAAAAAAACGGGGAAATTAAGTTGGAAGGAAAAAAACGGGGAAATTAAGTTGGAAGGAAAAGAACGAGGAAAATTAGGATTAGGGAGGAGGCGGTAAGCAGACATTTACGTGTGATTCTTGGATAATTATTTATAAGTATTTAATAGTATTGGGATTTTCACTTTTTAGTAGATGTTATTGCGTATCACTAAGTGTGGTAAATAAATTGTAATTTCTAAGTTTTCTGAGACACAGAGAGACATTTAACTGGATATATAGGCAGATGAAGAGAAAAAGACACATGCTGACAGAAATTCAGAAACAGAACCAAACACAAATATCTTAAAAAAAAAAACAAAAAAAAACAGAGAAGATGAGAGTGTTCACCTGACACGTACCATAGACCAGTTAGCCGGCATAAGACCAGTGTCAATATTTTTCTGCATGATATCCAAAATTTCATTCGTCTGACGCGGGAATTCTCCATACCTGTAAATTTAATTAGTATGAAAAACATGAAAGATCATCTAAATGGATTCACATTAATGTCAGTTATCGTTTATCAGTTATCAGTTTCTAAATATTATTAATATCCAAAAATAATCGCATTTTTTTCATTATCACATTAATACTTCGCTTAACATCATATTATAAAAGACATCAATGCTCATCATAAAAATCATTACTACATTTAACATCATATTCAAGCACATAACTAACTGATAATAACAGCCAGTTCATCATCACCATAACTCATTACAAAAGTATATGCATACCCACATTACCATCATCCTCATCACCACCATCAAAACCACATCATTACAATCACCCTTACCGAGCCAACAGCTTTTGGTAATCGTTGTAATTCTGCAGAACCATTTGCTTCTCGACCATCAATTTGAAGCCGAGCTGTGGCCCTCCGAGGAACGTGATTGGGGTGAAGAACCTGGCCAGCGAGAAGGGCATTAATATCTGGGCATAGACGCGCAGGCATTGGCGTAGCGAATGGGGGGGGGGTCAGAACCCCCCCCCCATGGGCCATGGATATAGGGCCCCATATCAAACTTGAAGTTATAATATTACATTTATATAACTTACAGAATGCGCCACAGACGACGTACAGGGATGTAAAAATCTTTTTTTTTTCTCAAACTTGTCTTTGTAATACACAATTTATCATTCATCGTCCTTAAATGCCCTGGTTTGCATATAACGGCATTTTGCCTTTGATCTTCCAACAGATAAGATGTAACCCGAACAATAGGGTCCTGTGAAAGGAAATGGGTAGCACAATGTTATCTAGTTATTGTTAGCAAGATCAATTAAATGTGTACATATGCCGAGAAACAGCCAGGAAATACAACCCTCTTTGATGAGAGCTTGTCAATTGTGATATTGAATTACAACTATAGAACCACCTTATCTACCCCATCCTACATTATACTACAATGATGAATCACATGATTCACATCACTATGACTACGTACAGCCTAGAACTGATTCCAGCTACAATTGAGCCTGAAAATATTAGCCAATCAGTTTTATGAGATATCTAGATATGGTATCGTGACTATTGTTAAATATTCCAGTAAGTGGGCAGTCTGTGTTTGAGAGAAGTTTGGAAATTGTGAGAACGTTAATCTTGTTAGTCTTAGGCTTGGCGATGCTCAACATCCATCGCGACATCCGCGTGAGTCCAGAGGACATCGTGAACAGACTGGCGAGCAGGCAACGGCGACTGAATTTCCGCTTGGAATTATATTATTGGAAGAAATCCCTTTTCGGACTATACTATTTACTTTTGAGACTTTTTCCCATAAAAACACTGAGATGTAGATATATCAAACATTCTTGATATGAGCCTAATCTGTTTTTTGCCTTTCAATACACCGGAATTATTAACATTGTGAATATAGGAAATTCGCTGAGATTTATCTTCGGAGAATGCTTAAAACTGCCAAAAATAACGTATTTTATCAAAATTTTCCCGGGGGGACACCGGACCCCATTATAGGGAGGGGGATACCCCCTTCCTATCACCCTCCCCCAGACGCGCTTCCATCGCGTCTCCACGCGCCTCCGGCGCCTGTCTACATTTTTTTGGAAGACACTTGTAACCCCCCCCATTGGAAATTTCTCGCTACGCCACTGCGCGCAGGTATACGTGTATATACACACACGTGCGGGACTTCTATAAACATAGATCGTATAGACATTTCTTGCTCAGATGCACATACAATCAGACACATGCAATACATACCGAGAGAGAGAGAGAGAGAGAGAGAGAAAGAGAGAGAGAGAGAGAGAGAGAGAGAGAGAGAGAGAGAGAGAGAGAGAGAGAGAGAGAGAGAGAGAGAGAGAGAGAGAGAGAGACATATATGCTGTATATATCATCAGTGTTATGTTTTCTGGAATTGTTCTATTGTTGTTATAATCTTCATGATACACGATCCTCATCGGAATTAGAGTGCATGTAGTTTGATAAGAATCTAATTGAAACGAATCAATTGCATCTCTTGCATGCTGAGAGTTTATTCATTCTTATTTTTACCATTCTCTCTCTCTCGCCAGTTCTCCTTCTCTCTCTCTCTCTCTCTCTCTCTCTCTCTCTCTCTCTCTCTCTCTCTCTCTCTCTCTCTCTCTCTCTCTCTCTCTCTCTCTTTCTCTTTCTCTTTCTCTTTCTCTTTCTCTTCCTCTTTCTCTTTCTCTTTCTCTTTCTCCTTCTCCTTCTCCTTCTCTCTCTCTCCTTCTCATTCTCCCCCCCTGCTGCCTCCCTTCTCCTCCAACTTACTTCAGGTATTCAAAGTTATCGATGTATGTCCTGACTTCCTCTTTGAACATCTCGAGGTTGATGAAGTCATTTTCCGACAGCGATTCCGGGTCAATTCCTTCTGCTCTTTCCAGAAATGTTTCACACTTGGCCTGAGAAAGAGAAAGAGAAAAAAAATACAATTAAATTGAAATGGAATAGTTAGCCCTTAAACTCTTAAACTACCATTTTCTTTGTTTTTTAAACTAGCTTTTCCAATTTTCCCATTTATATAAAACCGTTTATATACTTCGACCGAGGGATAAAAGAGAAATAGAAGAAATTTATTGCCGTTTTTCATACTTGTGGGAGAAAGAAAATGTAGCTAATTTTCACTGAGTGGACGCACGAAGCTGTGGCAGATTGAAGATGATATTCTTGTAGAGTGCAAAAGGTTACGGTCGTCGGCACAGGAAATAATCTGCAGACGCGGACAATAACACCACAAATACCGGAAAAAAAACTCGCTGCAAAAGGCTAAGTTACCCTGTAACTGGAGTGCCGTTTTCTGTCATGCTGCTCAGCTACGTCATAGCTCCGTCTGGCCAATCAGGAGGCGGCAGTTCAGAAGAGACTTTAATTGGTCGTTGAAATGTTAGTGAAATATTCCATATACTTTATCATCCAAATATACACGACTGTCTATTTACTTTTCATATATATTCGCATTTTAGCCTTCTTTACGCTTTAAAAAATGTGTTTTCATGCATATTTTTGCCAAACCTATTAAACATTTTAATTGTTAAACTACTTAAACAAGGCAGTCAATGCTTACGTTAATACGAGTATGTAATTAAAAGGCACATTTCTGGACCACTGGTGACTTGCTGCGTGCTGTTCTTGACTTATTTTTCTAACTTTAATGGAAATATAGAAGACCTAATCAAATCATTACGGAATCGTGGAATTCTGTTAATGGGAAAAAAGTGTTAAGATTGCAGTGCGATTTACCGACTTAAAGGTGCGACAAGTTTAGGAAAATAGAGTATATGTATATTTAATAAAACTTGGCTTGCCCATTCAAATCTAAACAACTTGTAACTAATATATTTTTTTGTGAATTTTCATTGTAAAGACCTTTTCTCTTACCCTCTGGTAAGAGACGAACTGAAAATATTAGACAAAACAGTTTTTGACGGGGAAGTTTTTGTAAAGAAGTTATAATTGCTTAGTGCCTAAAGAGAGGTGGCCCTGGCACTAGGGTAGGAACAGAGTCGAAATTCATGAAATGCAATGTCGACACACAGATGGACGGTCAGTGGGTTTTCGGTGCGTGTGTCGTGAAAGTCAGATTTTAAAATATCCGGTAACCTCCAGAGATGCAGACACTACTGGAATTGATAAAAGACACAATAAAGACAGGGCCAGCCATCATCAACGACTGCTGGATACAACTGCCTTAATCCAAAGTCTTCAGCGCCTGACTGAACCCGAACGCCCGAGCATAAGAGGCAAAGACCCTCGTCATATTATTTACAGTTTGTTTTACCCTGCATATCCTTTTCGGTGAAAGTTAATTTGCGTCACCTATTAATTTCATCTAAAAATAAGATAAATTGTTTAAACTAAATAATAAACTGGGCTGTGCCCCCTTGGCTAAACAAATAAATATCTGATAAGATAAGTAAGATTCGAAGACCTGTTTCAGCTGTATCTTTATCTTGTATCTGTATCTGTATCAGCTTCTTTCAGTGCCCTAATGTTCAAAATGTGCAGGCATAATCGTATTTTTTGTCGTCAAATATATGAAGTTTGTCTCGCATTCCCGAAATGTCGCATTTATTTGATCATCATAAATTTTTCTGCATTCATAATTTTCTTTGGTTGTTTGCCGACGTTCAGATCAAACTGAGGCCACGCTTTGCCCCCCCCCCCCAAAAAAAAAAAAAAAAAAAAAAAAAAGTGTCCCACGCGTCTCCCAAGATAGTTACCGAAAATGTAAAAAAGAAAATAGTCGAGAATTTCTCATTTGGATTGCGAGGGAAAGAAACGAGAATTACCGGAGAATTATTACCCTTTCCTCTTTCCTGAAATTTCCACATTTGATCTGAGGGAAAAAGAAAACGGAATTTTCCCCATTTTCTCTTTTCCGAAAAGGTTTACACTCTGCAAGAGAGAAATTCAGGACGAGAAAGAAAGTTTGAATTATTGGGGAAAGAAAATAGTTTTAACATCCAGAAAAAAAATCACGCTTGGCCTGGAAGAGAGAGAGAAAATGCAGAATTAATGAAGAACTATTGCAATTATCTCTTTCCAGAAAGAAAGAGAGAGAGAGAGAGAGAGAAGGAAAGACAGGAGAGAGAAGGAAAGGTAGAATGAGAGAGAGAGGGAGAAAAGGAAAGGTAGAATGAGAGAGAGAGAAAGAAAAAAGGAAAAGTACAGTGATAGAGAAAAAAAAGGAAAGGTAGAATGACAGAGGGAAAAGGAGAGAGCTAAATAGATAGATAGATAGATAGCGAGAAAAGGGAAGGTAGAATGAGAAAGAGAGAGAGAGAGAGAGAGAGAGAGTACAAGTAGCTTACTATAGAATTATTCACACTTTTACACACCGTTAGAGAGAGAAATGACATGCATAAATGATGCAGAATAACTGACAGTATCCGCACTAGGCTTCAGTGTAAAATAAAATTTACAAATACTAAAAGAGTTGTACCATTTGCTCTTTTTATAAGAAATATCACACTGGGCTAGTTATTAAGTCAGAATAAGTACCATATTAATGATTGTGATGATGATAATGATGGTGACGATAATGAGAATAATGAAAATTATATCGATTATAGGTAATGATAATCGTAATGATGATAATGATAGTAATGATGATAATGATAGTAATGATAATGATGAATGCAATGATGATACTAATTATAAATCATAATAGTAATGGTAACACCCCTCATGATCAGTATAAAAGCGATGATGCTATGAAAAATAACAATAATAATTAACGATGGTACTGATAATTGTAATATTGCATTATTATCTTGATTATTGTTATTATTATGATTATAACATCATTACGATAATATTTTTCGCTACAAATATAATAGATTATTAGATATGTTTTAGGTTATATCCTCAATATCAAAATAGTCTTCAATGCATAAATAAAAGCCATTTACCTTGATAAGACACAAAAGTACCATTATAACAACTGATAAAACAGTGAAACAAAACAAATGAAGATCAAAATCTTTACCTTTCGTTGTAGAAAATGTTCCTCGTTTAGGCTGTCCAGGCGACCGGCTGCGTTGTCGTTGATTCCAACCTGGAAAATGGGAGGCTTTGTTTCTAGGGTGTAAGGAATACGTAAAAATACTGATAACAAAGAGAGAGAGAGAGACAGAGAGACAGAGAGCGAGAGAGAGAGAGAGAGAGAGAGAGAGAGAGAGAGAGAGAGAGAGAGAGAGAGAGAGAGAGAGAGAGAGAGAGAGAGAGAGAGAGAGAGAGATGCATAATGCCAGCTATATATGGTAACTTGGAAAGACATGTTACAATGACAAGGGAATCGTAAAAATATATAGCACTAAGTAAGTTCAGTAACTTTGAAGGTCATATAGTACCAGGTAAATTCGGTATCTTGGAAAACAATTTTGTACCAGGTAAATTCCCTCGCTTGGAAGGCCATCTGGCACCAGGTAAACACGGCAACTTGAAAAATAATTGAACACAACGTAACACGGCAACCTGGATGGTCATTTATTACCAGGTAAATGCATTAATTTTGAAAATCTTTTAGTTGCGGGTTAAGAATGTGGAAGAGAATTTAGTACCAAGGGAATAAGGTATCATACATCATACACGCGTACGAATACACATGTACACGCACATGATAATGATAATAATTGTAGTAATGATTAAATACTTTTTTTTTTTTTTTTTGGTTTTCAGCTATAATATAAACATCGATATTTTCACTACAATCATGAACAGAGTGCATTCACGTATTAATACTCTTGTTATATTTGAAGGTTTATAATATTCACAATAAACACTTTTTCAAACGAAATGTCGAACAACTAACCTTCAAATAAACTCTATCCAAACTCTCAAATAAACTTAATCTATGCGTTTCATAATCACTTTCTTGTTTTTTTTTATACAGTGATAAGGTTTGAAAACGTATGTTCTTATATTCTTGTTTAGGAAAGACAGTCGTTGATTTGTGGTGTACGTACGTGAATAGAAAACGAGATTGGAGCAATGTTAACTTTAGGTCGGGGGTGGTAAAACAGCCTCTGTATTCTGTGTGTGTGTGTGTGTTTGTGTAATGTACACACACACGCGCGCGCGCGCGCGCGCCCACACACACACACATTTGCGATTGAAATATATGAGATCGTACGATATCGGTCTATTCTGTCCAGGGATCCCTTTACGAAGCGGGATACGTCTCTCGTACATTGTCTGATTTAAGTAATACCGGTATATGCTATTCGAAAGTATATTATCGGATTTTTTATTTCTTTTGAAAAATAGGGTACAAGAAGCTGACATAGTTGCATGGTGTAATATGATTAACTGAATGGGTGAATTTAGTATCTCCTTTATCAATCAAATTCGCTTCAAATCAGTATTCATAACATCCACGATTATCTGCGATACGTAGTTCATTAAGGAGGTTCTTGTAGACACTTTGGACCGAGCAGGGACGGCGGTTCTCTACGGGGACACTGCTTAGTGTGACCAATCCCGCCCTGCAGTTCACTCGCGGCTGGGCAAGGATCCCCGGACAGAGAAGGCTAGTGTGACCGCTGCTTAAAGCAAATCAAACCGATTTCTAACAAATGTAGAACTTTCATATCGGCGTAAATAATATATATATATATATATATATATATATATATATATATATATATATATATATATATATGTGTGTGTGTGTGTGTGTGTATGTGTGTGTGTGTGTGTGTGTGTGTGTGTGTGTGTGTGTGTATCTTTTACATTCATATTAACATAATACGACTACAATGCAAAAGAAAAACCATAAACGCATATTAAATACACACACACACACACAAATATAGCCCCCCCCCCCCCCCCCGCGTAAAGAAAAGGAAACAGGAAACAAAAAACGAGAAAAAAATCGAAAGTCGAGAATTCCCCCAAAGAAAAATAAATAAACAAATACAATAAATCGAGAGAGTAAAAACAATCGAGAAAAGCGAAAATTTTCACCCGAGAAGTCGAGGAAAAGGTCAGGTTTAACGAGATAATTCTGGGTCGTCCCGCTCCTTGGCAATTGCAAGGTGATGCCACGTTGATAAGGGCTTCTGCTTTCTCTGGCTCCTTGGCGCTGCGGGTGAGGAATCGCTAATGGGTCTTCATTTTTTTCAATTTTTCAGGCTTTTGTTTTTATTTGTTTATTTCCTTTTCTTTCCATGTGAAGGCTTGTGATTTTTTGAATGTACATCTATGCATTCGCACATGGCATACATACATACATATGTGTGTATATATATATATATATATATATATATATATATATATATATATATATATATATAAACACACACACACACACACACACACACACACACACACACACACACATATATATATATATATATATATATATATATATATATATATATATATATATATATATATGTATATATATATATATATATGTATATATGTATATATATATACATATATGTATATATACATACGCAAACACTCACAGACACACACACACACA